GTGTGTGTGTGTGTGTGTGTGTGTGTGTGTGTGTGTGTGTGTGTGGTCTTGTTACCTGTGGGCATAATGCACATTTCAGAGAACGTATTTCATGTTTCAGCATCATGCTCAACCTTTTTTTTTTTTTTTTTTGCATGATTCATGAGGCTTTTCTTTTTACGTCACTAATTTTGCCAAAGAAACGATCCGTTTCATTCCGTGCCTCTTTGACCTTTTATTTCATTTGAATGATTCATTATTTGCAGGACATCAATCCTTTGAAAAAAAGAACCAACATGTTTTTCACTGTATTGTCTTTTTCCCCCCCAGCAACGATCCACCCATCGAGCCGGCCGTGGAGGCCCCGGCCAAACCGCCCCTTTCTGATGATGAGGAGGAGGAAGTCGAGGAAGACCTGCCTGATGAAGCTCACTATGACTCCGTGGAGAAGGCCTCGACTCCCTCGGGGGAGTACTGAGCTCGCCTTCAGTTCAAACCAGCTGCAGGTGGATCACTGGTGCATAATTGCATCTTCTCTCCTCAGCTGTAAAGCTCTGATTCAACCACAGAATTATAATCGTGCTTCTATATAATACAAATGATTACGAAGGTCACCACAACAATTCACACTTGCAGTAATCTCTGTCATAGTTGAGACATAATATAATGTAACTAACAGCTAGCATTGATTTATGAATGATCTTCTATGGAAAGCACATTGAAAGCCAGAAGCTTTGCCATTGATTGTTTTTCTCTGAGTTGTAATTCTGTAAAGACGAGCTCACATTCATGGGTAATGGTGTCGGACAGCAGTGGAGCCGTTTCACTTTAAAACGTACAAGGTTGATGATGTGAACTCAGGATCTGCAGCTGGTCTGAGAAGTCACCCAACGACATCTCTGTGCTTTTACAACACAGCTTCTTCCCCCTGCCGTGTCAACAGGAGGGCTCTGATGTTGGTAAGCTGTACATCTCATCAGGTGTTTCACCTTTTAGCCTCACCTGTTAATACTGCCCCCTCACTGTCTGGACCGAGATGGATCATCTACAGTACGACGAGTCAGATGTTTCAGCCGATGATTGAGAGAAACGAATACTGAAAATAGACAAACATCAGCAGCATCTGTGAAATATATTTGTGCTGAGTGATGGCATCGATGATCACACTACTCATAGAACTATATGTTCAACTTATTGTCTACTCACAGGAGATCCTATGTTCTTTAATAATAGCTATGAGCAGCAGTGATAATGTCCTGTGCTGGTTCTCAGATTACACTGATTTAATGTTTGATTAATATTGTGCACAAGCAGTTTGTAAGATCTTCTTAAAGCAACATTTTCAAAAGAGAAATTAAATAATACAATCAGCAAGAGAAAGAATTATTAATTTATGTTTAAGATAACTTTGACATAGTGAGACAAGAAATCCGGATTACACTGATACAGGTTGTAATTTGTTGGACTGAGATGATATATAAAACATAAATGTCACTTTCCTCTGGTATTTGGCCGTGCAGATGGTATGGATTTAGTTTTGAGATACATCCGTCTCCTAGATTTCAGACTCCACCCTAACATACAGTCTAGTGTACGTTCAACAGTTTTCTGAAGACGTAGTCCCAATTAAAACAGTTTTCTGTGGATTATCTAGAGCTACAAGAACACTGTTTCTGTTGGATTATTTTTATTTGCTGAATATTTCAACGCTGGTGAAGACAGGAATGGCAGAGGTGTATATCTTTAAACCTGGATAACACATAGACACCACTACAGGTGAATCAGATGTGCGTTTTCATAGTTTAAGTGAACCTTTGCTTTAATTCCACTCCCTGTTAAAACAGACTGCTGAGATTCAAGAGTGTAACCGTTAGTGGAAATAACTGTCTAGTGAAGAAGTCCCCTTCACAATTCATGAAATGAAGACTAAGGTTTGAGAAGTTGAAAGTATGTTTTAAAAATGTAAAACGCTTTTAAAACTGAACTGATCAAGATTTTAATGTACTCAAAAAATGAGCTTCATATTTAATATGTTGGCAGCATAATGCTTTCGATTTTACAAATGTTCTCAAAGTTTTGAAACTGGTTTTGCAGAAAAAGACAAAACAAAATCCTGGTCAAATGATAAAACCTGTATCGGTGTAAAACATGAAGACTAATGCAATACAAATATGACTGACAGTCAAACATGTATCATGTGATTTGTCTGTTTTTCAGTTTAATTCTGAGAATAAAGAATCAAGTAATTGCCCACATTGTGCTGTATGTCTTGTATGTGTTGCTGGGATCAGACTGATATTTGTGTCTTTCAAGATGTCTTCTGTGTCAGATCAGATGATCAAAGACAAACTTTCTTGCCTTGAATTATTTGAAAACGTGCGTGACCTGTATAGGTGATCACAATGATGCTGTTCCACCTAACAGAACAAAAAATGAAATGGGCTTCCATAGCATTGACATAGGCACAGCTAAGGGAGCAATTTTGGGGTTAAGCCGGGTATCGAACCGCCAATCCTCTGATAGGATGACCCTGCTCTCCACTTAACCATAGTAGCCAACAGCTGCTGTGTAGCATGTCGAAAAAGTCATAAAAAGTCACAGTATAGCATGTCGAAAAAAGTCATAGTATAGCATCAACATCCATGGGAGCAATTTTGGGATGAAGCCAGGTATCGAACCACCGATCCTCTGGTTGAAGGACAACCCTGCTCTCCACTTAACCGCAGTAGTCTACAGTATAGCATGTCGAAAAAAGCATGTTTGATAGCATATTTTTTTAATTTCATTTTGAAAATGAAGAATCAGGTATTTACCCACATTGTACTTTACATCTTTTATGTAATGCTGTGATCAGACACCTCTTTGCTGTCAGATCAGGTGATCAAAGTCATACATTCTTGCCTCCACCTGACGGCACCAACAATAATATTAATCTTTTCCTTTTTTTGTAGATGGAAGACTCTTAGGGCTCTTATTGTCGGCTCACATTGGAATCTGATCCCAGTATGAACCTAGATTTACAAACACTAATCACATTTTCCACCACTTTCCAATTTTTTGTTTGTAAGTGATTTTCCTTAAAGCGTCATGAATAAATAAATTAAGACAAAACTAAACCACATAAAAGACGTCAGAGTGAATTCTGTTCTCTCCATGTGTGAGCACACAATGATCTTTGTTAAAATAAAATAAAATAAAGACGTCACTAGATATCTTACGATGTGTAAAACAGACTTTATTTATATTTGATAGAAGGTACAGAAAGTAATGATGTGACCAGGTCGGGGGGGGGCACATGTTATCGACAGTATCGCAAACCAAAACCTTTGTGATTTATTTTACGACCAGGCCAAAGCTGCTTTAACGTTCCTCCTGTCTGTCTCCATTTTGGGGTAAAAACAACACTGACTGTTGCCCCTGAATCAACAACACAACATCTCTTTGGCAACAATAAAACATGAGACATTTAACCTTCCCTCCTATACAGGTACAGTACATCAATACTCTTAAAAGTATTCTTGTCGAGATACAAAAATATTACAGACAGCTGTGTAGATGGTGCTATGATTAACTGTTACAGAATATTTAAGCCCTGGAAGGCAAACAAACACGTAGAAGACACGATATGTTGATGGAGCGCTTTGAAAGGAGGCAACCAGCAGCTCATCAACGGCCGCTCACATTTCACTCCCTCACATCTACGCACACAGAGAGCAAAGCATTGCAACAGGTCATGATCGTGGCGTCAGCCCTCGATTGCCCTTCAACACTGAATTGATCTGTTTTTTATATTTCAGCTTTCAAGTGCTATTAAATCTCATTCTGTTACCGGTTCAACGTGACGCTCAGATTTGTCTTCTTGTTTTAACCCAAATTATAAGGAGTTAGAAGAACCAGAAGAGGTTCTTCGGTTCAGCTTAATACCGGCATCATTGCACAAAACGGATGAGATGAAGGTCAGTAGCCAATATACAGCGAGTGACAGTAACAGTAAAGCCAGACAGCTGTTCTCATTTCTCTCACAAACATAACACGGCAGGCTGAGCAGAAGCTGAGGAACACTGGATGTATGTTCAGACTCATGAGCAGGCAAAAATATAACTCAACAGCCTTTTAAATACTGTTGCATGTTTGTCTTTTGAAACATTGGCCGATAGGGTTGGGCAATATGATGATATATAATGAGCATAACTACAGCAGGGTATCGATCCCTCTAATACCTCTGCTAGTATTAGGCCTTTGTGAATATTGTTGCAAATGAATGTGAGTATTACTGCATTCCGGCCATATTGGATTTACTGGATCTGTGCATCAATGTGATGACGAACCGTGATTTGCCAGGTGTTATTTGATAATGATGTATCCCACTATCAGGATACAATATTACATATATTGTGATGAAGACTGCATCCACATTGCCCACCCGTATCGGCCCATGTCGTTATTAGAGAACTAGTGTCTTTATGTAGCGGTCCAGACATGGGAGGGATTTCCCTGTCTCTGCTCCAAAACAACAAACAACTGTCCCTTTATGTCTCTAAGCAATACATTCCTATAGATACTTGAAACCATGCATTGCTTCAATTGAAAAACCTGTTCAGCCTTTAACAAGCGTTAAATCTGACAGGACTTCCTGTCACTATAGTGACAATGTTGTGCCGGATGTTTACAACAAAGAGGGATTGGTTGTGATGGCGGTGCTGGCACTCAATTTGGTAGAGAGAATGAGCCACTTATTTATGTAAAACAGTACAGTAGTGGTCCTGGTACAAAAGAAAGAGTCACAAAATATCACATTGTCCAGGTTCAATCAGCTGTTTCCACACAAACAAAACATTCTGTAACCAAACGTGACCCATCGGAATTCCCTTTCCTTCTTTCACGCTCGCATGTCCTTTATCTCTGGATGAAGCCAAATATTAACAATATATTACTTGTGATACCTAAAGGATTCTCATTGATAGTTATTAAGACAAGTTAAGCAGTTTCCTAAGAAGTACAAAGTCTGTGGAGCTGTGCAGGCTCCTTCAAAGAGCCGATCCTCTGATGAAAAGGTGACGTCTTTAACTCACAACAGTTTACTCTTGGTCCAGGTGGTTCCACTCTCTCAGGAATGCTTCCCATCATACATTAAGAGGTGAAAGAGGTGGAAAATGAGATGTTTTTCAAAGGTCTGTCCTTCCATTGTGTCTCTTTGATCTGAAAAATATGCACAATTCAAAGTTCCCCCCGCTTTCATAGATTATGTACATCATACATACAGTATATAATAATATTCTGTAAAGTGTATATATTAATTATTCTCTTTTCAGTACTCTAAACAGCTCAGGTCAGTAAGACAGACCTTTCAAAAGTGTCGACGGGCGATAAGAGGCACTGTCCTGTGTTTCTAAAACCTGACGTTAAAAGATAAAGTAGAAGTCATGCTAGCAGGCCAAGTGTTCGTCATGGAGAGGCAGTAAGTATCCACAGCTCGTTATTCTTTGTCCCCATCCTCACTGCTTCCTGCAAAAGACAGAACGAGGAACAGACGATGAACGAACACAAGGGCTCTTTACAGGCTTCTAGGCATCTGGCTCCTCCACAATGTTGGCAGAGTTCTATGAAATTTGGCCAGAAAGTTTATTAACTAATCAGCACGGTACGTAAGTTTTACTGTAGATCAGTCTGTGGCAACACGTCGTAGCAAACAACTACATCTTTAATGGGCCAGTTTGTAAAACTGGGATCAAGTCTAACACAAGATAAAGAAGGATTTTAATAACCATATTAGCTAAAACATGCACATGATTAATTCATCTAGCTTTAGATTACAGTTACTCCAAAAGTCAAGGCTTCAAATTAAACCTCAGAGGAACCATGTTTATCTCAGTCTCAGAAAACTATACATTTGTTATGTGTGAGAGTCAAATCAGTAAAAACTCAAATCATATTTAAAAAAATCCCGTCTGTTATGAGGAAAGATGATGCGACCCACCTCCTGCGGAGTCCATGTCAGAGTCGGAGATGTGAGTGATGGAGAAACGAGACACGCTGGAGGGGGAGACAGTGAAGCGGGAGAACTGTGCGACTGGTTTGGGGTCCGGAGCTTTGGGGATAAAGCGGGGGGGAGGGGAGTCAGATGCCACTGAGGATGTTGGCAGAGGGAGCAGGGGGAAGTCGTCCTCCCACTCATATCCTGCACCTGAGAGCAGACCATAATAAGATATTTAAGTATTTATTTAGATATTTTGATCTTATCTTTTATTGAAGAATTGATATTTACCAACTAAATGAGTTTTCTTGATGCTGAAGAACAGATTGATCCTCTCTGTATTTGCATCAACACTATATCTACATTAAGGAATGCATTGTTCTACTTACTCTCCTCTGAGATGTTCCCATCTGAAGAGTCATCTGAGGCATTGAGCCGTTCTTGGGATTTGGTGCGTGAACTCTGACCCTCCGCTCCGAGAGGGAAGCCATGCTCAGCCAGCTCTTTAGTTGGGCTTTCCTAGCGACAGGGAAGATAAGCAGAAGAAACTGTTCGATGGACTTCAGATCAAAGACAGCTGACGGATTCACTGCCACTTCAACTTCCCTGTGTCAAAGACTATCAACGTATTAGCAAGATTCTTACTGCAAAACTAGCATTACTTCTGAGTCATATAGCCCACCTGATGAATGCAAGTTAAATGTTCACTCTTTTTGACTCCACTAACTTCTGAGAAAAATAACCAGTTTTGACCTTCTTGGTGCTCAAATACAGTATGTTCACCCACCAGCTTCTCTGTAACATTGTCTGCCGTTTGCTGTTAGGCAGGCAGTGTAGAGTGGGTTACTTAAAGTATTTGTTGTTCTAAAAAGCTCTTCAGCGCTGCGTAATAACAATAATTACACTAAGCCACATGCTAACTGAAATGTAGGGTTGCCCCCTAAAGGTCAGTGAGTTGAATCATCTGTAGGTGACCCCAAGTTGAGCCGTCTTTGTTTTTTAAAAGGCTCGATCTATGAAAGACAATGTGCTCGAATAAACAATTTAATCATAAACGCAATAAAAAAAGGAACAAATAGCTGTATCTTTGTATTGAACAGCCAAATCAGGATTCAGGTGCAGCACTACTCAAATTACTGTTAATATAATGAACATTGATTAATGCAGGTTTGAAGTATAAATTAACTAATTAAACCGTTTGAATATACCCTTTCTGCCACTCACCTGATCGAACAGGTAGACGGTGACATCGTCAAAAAAAGACACCGTCTTCTTCTTGCATTCGAGCTCCTCCTCCAGGTTCTCCGCTGTAAGCAGGGTCGGCATCTTAAGGAGGCTGCGCAGGTTGTGGTCTTCGCTGCTGTCACTCACCACGATGGGCACCGGGTAGCACTCGTCATCGCTCTCCTCCCCGCCGCTCTGCTCCTGCACGCTGTAGATTCGCAGCTCCTCATCCGACTCGTCGCTGTCATCGCTGTCGCCGTCCTCCTCGTCCGCCTCTTCCCCGTTGGCCGGAGACCCTCGGCCATCCGTTGCAATCAGCGAAGGGGGAGGGGTGGAAGGAGGGGGAGGAGAGGACGAAGAAAACCGCCTGGTGCTTGCCGTGTGCTGCAAGGCCACCTCATCTTTGGGTAAAGTGTGCAGGATTTCACCGGATATCCCCGAAGGTCTGTTTTGAATCATCTTGATCTCTGGCTCTTCTGTTGTTTCTAAATACTGAACAGAGTCTTCTGCGTCCTCCTCCTCCTCCTCTACCTTGACGTTGGAGGTACAATCTCCATTCAGGGCACCAAGGGCTTCTTCCATGGCCCCCACCACCTCTGCCGCCCAGTCTCCTAGGGAAGAGCTCTCTTCCTGAGATGGCCAATCATCCAGCCCGCCCTCTGTTATTGAAGTGGTGTCAGAGGGCTCCACATGTAGCCCCAGTACCTCATCCTGGTCACACTCTTCAGTCAAATATGCATCCATCTCTACTGGAGATGAGGATTCTGTTCGTCCTGTTGATACGTGTTTCATGTCAAGTTTCATGTCTTTGTTCACTACGGTGTCATTTAGCTCTTCCTCCTCCTCATTCTTCCTTTTCTCGCCCTTCCTTTGTCCCATGCGTTGTTCCTTTTCAACATTTTCTTCATCTCTCAGTCTCTCTGACAGTTCGTCCCCTTCATCCCTGGACTGCCTTTCATTCTCATAGTCTGAAAAGTAGGCAGAGTCTCTGTATGGAGTCTTATCGCTCAGTGGTAGAAGACTGTGGTCGCTGGTCTGTGAGGCTCCCAAGGCCAAATCTTCAGCCTCTCGCTCTACTTCATCCTCCACTTCCTGCTCCTCCAGCTCTTTGTCCTCCTCCAGGCTCGCATGAAGGGTAGGATTTCCCAGAGGTTGTTCACGGGGTTCATGAGGCTCTTTGGGGACAAACTCGGGGCTCTCATTATTTTCTGTGTCGTATCCACTGTCCATAGCTTTAGGTGAGCTGGAAGGGTGGGAGGACGCGGGGCTGAAGCCTTCACAAGACCCAGCTGCAGAGGGCAGATCCATGGAATCCATGGAATCAGGAGTTCCTACGTGCTTCTGGGGCGACTTGAAGGCAGGAGAGGCGTTCAGCTCGCTGGACTCGTCTGCAAAGATGCCTGAGGTGACGTCGGTGATGTCATCTGTGATGTCGTCGTCGTCACTGCAGTCGAGGATATCGGTGAGGCTGACGCTGGAGCCCTCTCGGTCGACACCGCTGTCGCCGGTGTGACTCAACTCAGACTGCGGATCTGTGAGGGCCACCATCACGTGCATGTTGTCATCAGGAGGCGGAGTGGTTGCAGTCATTGTCAGGGTCACCTCTTCTATTTGAGGCTCTGCCGGCTTTTGCATGATTAGATTTTCTTTAATTACATCCTCCCGCTTCTCTTTGAAGAGAGCTTTATCAGTTGTAAGGTCAACATATTGCTCTCTACTGTCTTCGGTCTTTATCAAAGAAGGTTTGGCCACAATGGGACCCCCTGGAGCCGGTGATAGATTGATCATCTCGTCATTGCTTGAGGTGTCAATGGCCTTATCGCTGATGTAGCTGCTGTGACTGTAGCTGTGACTGTAGCTGTTGTTTCTGACTAGCAAGCCTGTGAGCGGGTCAACAAAGTGCGAGTGGCAGCAATCTCCAGATGCCGGCACCTGAGTCTCGCCCTCATGGCACAGGTAGATGTAGGCATTGCAGTTGTCTGAGGGCACCATTGCATGATGTTTACTCAGACTAAGGCATGCACTGTTGTCTTTGGCCTGGTGGGGCTCGAGATAGTCAACGGGTTTGGGGAGAGAGTGGAAGGCCAGGCTATGCTCCTCCGGCCAGGAGTCTTCAATGTCTGTACTTGGCATTGTGTAGTGGAAATCCACGTAGGCATCCTGTCTGCAGCTGTGGCTAGCGCGTCTGTGGTGACCCACGCTGCTGTGGTGACCCACGCTGCTGTGGCGATGTTTTGAAGGCCAAGTGTTGCAGGTGTGTCTCTCAACAAATATGTCCTCTTCTTCCTCCTCCTCTGTATCGCTGTCCCTGTGCCCAATGAAGAGCGCCCCCTCTGTCTCCATGTTAATGCTGACAGAGTGGCTGTTCTGCCTGGTGTGGCCGGGCATGGTCTTCCTCAGGGAGCCCATCATGTCGTAGTAGCCCCCCGTCACGTTCTTTCCTATGATGGAGGTCTGACTTGCGTCCATGTATGCGTCCCTGTAGGCCTGTTGAGGTGTACTGTTGACGGCGGGGGTTATGCCTAGCGGGTTATCCAACTCACCCAAGGCCTGACGCAGGCTCCTTGACCCCCAGCTCTCCTGATGACGCTCACTGGAGGAGTCACGTCCAATCAGATAGTGATCTATTCCCAAAGGGGGCGAGTGCTCATAGTAGTAACCCCCGTCTCTGTCTTTATAGGACACGTAGTGACTAGACTCCCAGGGTCGCAGTGGGCTATTGTCCAACACTTGCCCTAAAAGGGGCTCCATTGTTAGGGAGATAGCAGGACTTGAGTCGTTCGAGTCATACATATCTGACTTATGGATGTCTGCTGACCAAAAAGGACCCGTGTTCTTGGTCTGTGACGGGCAGGCCATGCACTCGCCTGAGTCGGCGCTCCCTGTCAGAAAGCTCCCGTTGCTGCCTTGGTAGTCTGGGCTGTAGGAGCACATGGTGTAGTCCAGATCGATGTTACAGTCTACTGGCTCTTCGATGCGGATGTAGTATTCACTGCTTACTGAGGGGCTGTGGGCACTGAGGACAGGAAGTATGCCTGGAGCGTGTAGATGTTTTGATTGGTAGTAAGAAGGAGAAAGTCTGTGGCTGAGACTCTCCATGGGGCAGCCTCCCACGATGCCTCCAGGTGGGTAAAACGCTTCCTGGTGATGATGGTTGACCTGATCCAGGGTACTAGATGAGTCCGGGGCTCTGTACGACTGGTCTGCTCTGGCTTGCTCCCACTTGTACTCAAAGTTCAGGCCATGGCTGGTCTCTGTGACCGTAAGTATATCATCTCCGGACTCCGAGTGGTAGCCATCACCAGCCGGAAATTGCTCAAGGAGGGGAAAAGAGGAGGAGGTTGATGAGGGGTGGTCTCGGGACATTGCTGAGGCACCACGGTGGATGTTGAATACAGTATTGGGACGCAGGGATTGCCATCGCCTCTCAAAGTCCTCTTCGACCTCGCTGGCCCCCTTGGCACACAGGTAGCTGAGCAGCAAGTGGACTTCCTCTGCATTGGGTCTCTGCTCAGGCTGGAGCCAGCAGAACTGCATCACCTCATACCTGAGGAGCACAAGCATGAGAAAAAGAGAAATAGTCAAATAGACTTTTTCATTGCCATTCTGTTGCTATAACAGAATTTGCATGATAATTAGAATCTGCAGAAGAAAAGTAATTGAACTGTGTTTCTGAGTGTTGTGTTTTGCCATGTTTGCACATCTCCTGAAAAAAACAACAACTGTTCAATATTTTAAAGATGTTTCTAAATGTGGTTGGGTTTGAGTCCCACCAGCGCTCAGCCAGCGGCACTTTGAGCAGCGGTTTGGGCAGTCGCAGCTGCTGCTCCCTCACAGCGTAGGTCAGTACTTGTCTGTCAGAGTAGTGTCTGTAGGGCTGGTTGCCCAGCTCAAACAGCTCCCAGATCGTCACGCCCAGAGACCTGAGACACAGGATATCATGGATGATGTGATGATGAAACATAAAAACAGCAATCACAACAAGCATATGTCATCCCCACCCTATGTATTAATACTTGAGCTGGTCGCTAAACAATGTTTGGTTATCTTGCTTCCTTCATGTTTTCATTCACAGTCAGGGCTTTATCACGATATAGATGTGCGTGCGTGTGTGTGCGTGTGTGCGTGTGTCCTACCACATGTTGCTGTGTTGGGTCTGGTCAGCCACCAGCAGGTTTCCGTGCACCTCATCCACCAGCTCTGGAGCAATCCAGCGCAGCGGCACGCACATCTGATCTGAAGTCAGGTAGTAATCATCCTGACAGGATGGACAAAGAGACAGAAGACAATCACACATTTTAAATTTTGTTTTTAATCAGTCATGACAGTAAAAACACAAAAAAGCATAAAGATAAAAATAAAAATCAGTTCTCCTTCAGCTTACTTTTTTTATGAATGCACTCATACATTGTTTGTTGGTTATTACTTGCTTGACAATGTCTACAGAAAACTAACTCCACAACCTTCACTTTTGATGTCATCCATTTATTTTCCCCAAATACTTCTAAAATTTTAAATAATACTTTTTATATTTCTTACTTTTTGCATGTTTTTTTGTGATAAACAGACCTTGTACTTGTTCTGGGCCAGACCATAATCTCCAATCTTCACTGAGACATCAGCAGTCAGCAAGCAGTTCCTCAAAGCCAGGTCACTGGTCACAAAGGGGGGGGGGTAAACAAATGTTACAGAGCTTCATTATTAAGAAACAAAAAAAATAAGAACAGAACATTGCAGGATATCATCATAGAAGCCCTTCATGCAAAACACTGACCGACTGCAAAATGAAACAATTCGTCTTTCAAAGTTAGACTAGTTCAACACTCATATCTCTGAAAACACACATCAACCGCTACTCCTGTCTCTGAAAATGGTGCTGAAATGTCGACGGGATGGAGGCTTGAGTTGTTGTGGAGATGAGGGTCACCGCCTGCAACAAAATCACTGATGCTGGAGTCTGTAAGGAGCACTCAGGCAGCACCAGGATATTGTTCCAGGAAGCAACCGGGAAGCAAAAGGCAGAGTTTACTGATCAATAAAAGACACTGGCTACGGGCCTGGTGTGTTCTTTTTGACAAATAGCTTCCTACCCGTGCGTGAAATTGTGTTTGTGCATGTGCAAGAGTCCCGAGGCGATGTCACAGGCCATCCGTTGAAGAATCAAGGGCTCTGGGGTCATGGATTCTGAGGACCTGCAGCTTCGGAGGTAACCCTTCACATCCCCCTGGACACAGTAGATAAAATAGATATGTTACAGCCTCTGACCACTGGAGGGCAGTATTGTCATTGTACTGTGCTTAATGGGGCCAAGAGTCACCCATCTCTTGTTCCTATTAGAATCTGGAATCCTGCATGGAAGAGCACCAGATGAACATGTCTGCTCTCTTGTTTTATATGTATTGAAATGTTTGGGATGGACAGACATCTCAGGGAATTATGGTTGTTTTTGGACAAAGCTTGTCTCCATGACAGAGCCTTCATCCTCCTCCGTCTTACTAATAGTTATTAATAATTAATAATAATTATTAGCTTGCAATGACCGACTTTCCTCCTCAGGTATATCTGAACATCTTCTGTTCAGATATACCTGAGCTATTAGCTATCACCAACTTACACCACTTACACTGTGGAGTGAATTCAAAATGTATAGATCTAAAGTAGAAGCCAGTTCTTTGATTACTTAGATATCACCTCAATTATCAGCGTTTAATCCTCTGAGCCAATCGAGCCTGTTGGAGCCGATAGGCTGCAGTTTGAGTGGTACAACTGTAGTGTGCCAAATATTTACAGCAGCTGACAAGAATGTTTTTATTGCCAACGATAATTAACAAAATATCATCTAAACTACAAAACATTAGGAGTTTTTAATCCATTTAATATACTGAACTATTACAGGATGTATCGCAGACTTTGAATTAAGAGGAAAGGTCAAAAGACTTGACAGAAAACACTTCGCTGCAAAGGAACAGTGATTTTAATAAAAAATAAAATCCTTAAAGTGACTGATTTCCAACATGGGATGGGAACACAGCAGGGCCGAGGCAGCACTCCACTCCGCTTGGCACCAGGTTTGATTTATCTTCAGATGTTACTTAATATTTATTCATCTCTTTTACTGTAACCGGACCTGTGGGTTTGGATACTCACCAGTGGACAAAACTCCATCACCAGCAGGTAGGGAGTGATCTCGGTGCACTGGGCCAAACACTGCAGCAGAGCCGGGTGCTGGAGGGCACTGAAGAGAAGAGGAGGAGAGGAAGAGCATGAGATCACAGCACAAGGTAGAAAGTGAGCGTTGTCACATTGTAGCTGAATGAAAGTAAAAACATCCCGACACCCACACTGACATATGGGGAAAATAAACTACTAATGATTGTAAACCAATTCTAAATCATACATTAAACAATTGTTTA